ACCATTCTAATAGGCATGAAGTAATAATATCTCATTGTGCTTTTGATTTGTATTTCCTTGATGATTAGTGATGTTGAACATCTTTTCATGTGTCTGTTAGCCATTTGTTATGTCTTCTTTGGAAAACTGTACTCAGATCTTCCACCCATTTTTTATTGGATTTTTTTTTTTTTTTTTTTGCTATTGAGTTGTATGAGTTACTTATATGGTAAATACTAACTCTGTACCAGATAGATGGTTTGCAAATATTTTCTCCCATTCCCAGGTTACCTATTAATTTCGCTGAATGTTTATTTCTGTGCAGAATCTTTTTATTTTTACTTTTGATGCTTACTTATTTTTGTTTTTGGTGCTTGCTATTTTGGTTCAATATCCAAAACGCTGTTGTCAAGACCAATGTCAAGGAGCTTTTTCCCTATGTTTTCTTCTAGGAGTTTTACAGCTGAGGGTCTTATATTTAGTTTGTAAGCCATTTTGACTTAACTGTTTTGAGTGGTGTAGGAGAGGGGTCCAATTTCATTATTTTGCATGTCAATATCCAGCTTTCCCAACACCATTTATTTATTTTTTTTAATTTATTTATTTTGAAAGAGAGAGAGGCAGAGAAAGAATACCAGGCAGGCTCTGCACTGGCAGTGCAGAATCCAATGTGGGGCTCAAACTCTCGAACCATGAGATCATGACCTGAGCCAAAGTTGGACACTTAACCAACTGAGCCATCCAGTTGAAAAGACTATTATTGGCTCTCTTGTCAAATGTTAATTGATGATATACACATGGGTTTATTTCTGGGCTCTCAATTCTATTTTACTGGTCCACATGCCTGTTTTTATGCCATACCATACTGTTCTGATTGTTTTACCTTTACAGTAAAGTTTGCAATCAGGAATTTGATGTATCCATCTGGTTCTTCCTTCTCAAGATTACTGTGGCTATTTGGGGTCTTTGTGGTTCCATCCAAATTTAGGACTGTTTGTTCTATTTCTGTGAAAAATCCCATTGGGATTTTGATAAGGATTGCACTGACTCTATAGAAGGCTTTGGGGAATAAGGACATTTTAACGATATTAACTCCTCCAATCCATTAGCACAGAATATTTTTCCACTTATTTGTGTCTTCTTCAATTTCTTTCATGTCTTAAAATTTTTCAGTATACAGATCTTTCACCTCCTTGGTTAAATTATTCCTAAGTATTTTTTTGATGCTATTGTAAATTGGTTATTGTCTTTATTACTTTTTCTAATAGTTCATTAATAGTGTATAGAAACACAACTGATTTTTTATGTTGCTTTTGTATCCTTTAACTTTACTGAATTTATTAGTTCTAACAGTTTTTTGGTGTAGTCTTTAGGGTTTTCTATGTATAAAACTGTACCATCTACAAACACAGACAATTTCACTTCTTCCTTTCCCATTATAGTATCTTTTATTTCTGACAGGTGTAATTTTAATGAATAAGAAAACACAAAGTAAAATATACCTTAAAGGTCCTCAAAATAATATAGCTGTTAAACACATGAAGAGATGTTTAATTTCACTCATAATCAGAGAAATATAAAATAAAGCTACACTAAATATCATTTTTTACCTACCAGACTAACAGAAATTCAAAAGTCTGACAATATATTCTCTTGCACAGATTAAATAGAAACTGGCACTTTCAGATATTTCTAGTGGATATACCAAATTGTACAAGAGCTACAAAATAAATTCATAATTACAATGGAAATATATGACAAAATGACATGGACATTTACACTTCGACCTAGAAATCTCATTTCCAGAAATTTACCCTGAAGATACTCATAATACACAAAAACACATCTGTAACAAAGTTATTTTTTGCAGTATTGTTTGTGATTGCAAAATACTATGAGACATAAAATTTCATATGCAGTAAATTGGTTGAATATGTAAATATTCTCTGTCATAGAAGGAAACAGGATCCTAGGGGAAAGGGTTTATTCCAGGACTGGAAAAGGGAACATTCAAGATGAGCCTGGGATATCTTAGTATGCCAGAAAATAAAAAGTGCTCAAAGAATGATGGGGAAACAGTCCAAGTAATTGAAAGCAAACATAACTACTGAGGCTTCTATCTCCCAAAATTTCCCCAAAACAATACAAACAAAAAGGGAAAAATAAAACCTCCCAAAAGCCAGGCCCTCAGAATTAAAGACAGAATGTACACACTTCAAAATAACTTTTAGTAAAAAAAAGAAAATTACCAAAACACAGAATATGATTTCTTACAATCATGTTCTACATTTGGAACTTAAGAGACAAAACAATTAAATGAAATGAGTTATTCTGGATTACATCTTGAATCAGGGTTTAAAAAAATGTCAAAAAGGGACATTACTAGGACAATTGACAAAAGTTGAATACGGAATATGTTTTTGATAATAGCATGGTAATGATGCTCAATTTCCAAAGTTTGATTACATTGTGGATATAGTCTCAGAAAAAACTTAAATAAATATTTAAGAATAAAAGAACACGATGTGTTCAACTAATTCACAAATCATTCAAGAAAAAAAGTAATATATAATTATATTGACAGAGAAAGCAAACTAAAGAGTATATATGGCAAAATGTTAACAATTAATGAATAGAGTTTACAGAGATATCTTTGTTTTATTCTTGAATATCTGCTGTACATTTTAATTTTTTTAAATAAAGACATAAAAATCACTGGAAGAAAGACTTCTGCTTTCAGTCAACATAGAGAAACAGTCATTGCTTTATCCATCTGCATAAAACAACTAAAAACTGTGCAAAATACATGGAACAACAGCATTCAAGCCGCTGGACATCACGCAGTGAAGGACAGTAAACCTTGAGAGAGTCTACAGATCAATGAACTGAGCCCTAAGGTTATCCCAGCTTACTTAATGGAGAAAATGTCCAGGCTAAAACCCAAGTTGGAAGAGCCAAGCAGAACTCAGCAATCTCTCTCTGTAAGTTAAAGAGACAGAGTTCAAAGCACAGAGACACCAAGACAGATTACTGGAGAAGAGACAAGGACCGAGTAGTACAGAGAACAGAACTGCACAAAAAGAAAACTCAGCAGATCTGCAAAGGTTCTCCCTTGATCGTTTAGCTAAGTACTGATTAGCTCACAAATACGAGGAGACTACTCTACGCCAAGGTAATAACCCACCTACAGTGATCACACGGAATACTGTCTAGAGCTCACATAAGACCATGGAATTGTGCCAGGGCCTAACACCCAAAATGCAAAATCTCATAATATCAGGAGCATCCTTTGAGTACTGAGAATGATCTTGCCTCAGTAGAAGAGATAAATTCATCCTAGAATACAAGTAGCTCTGATCCACATAACAAATTAAAAGCAAGAGCCAAAAAGATAAAACTGTCTCCAAGTAACCAACTGTCGCCAATCCCAAAACAAAGCTCAAGAATATTTCTAAAAATATATAAATACTCAGTACCTAAATAGGTAAAATTCATAATGCCTGGTATCAAATCAAAGACTACCAAGCATAAGGATGCAGAACAATTAGTCAATCAAAACTGACCCCAGAAGTAACACAGATGATAAAAGAAAGAAAGAATAAAACAACTACTATAACTGTATTCCAAGAAACTAAAGGAAAAAATAAGTATTTAAGTAGACACATGGAAGATATAAAAAAAAAGATTCAAACTGAACTGTTACAGATAATTCATTTATTTATGACTTGTTCATTTTCAACATGGAAATGGCTCAGCTACTCAATCTCTGTTTTCTCCTCTCCAATTCCTCCACCCTAAAGCACAGGTGTGGGATAAAAGGAAGAGCTGGATTTGGGCAGGTATGAAGGAACAAAGGAATAGAACACAAGAGGCATATTTTCAAAAGGTACAATTTATAGTTATAAGGTAGTAAGGACTAGGTGTGTAATGTACAACATGGTGGCTATAATTAACATTGCTCTATGATATATAGGAAAGTTATTAAGAGAATAGATCCTAAGAGTTCTCATCACAAAAGGGATTTTTTTTTCTTTTCTTTTTATTGTATCTATATGAGATGATGGATGTTAACTAAACCTATGGTGGTAATCATTTCACGATATATGTGAATCGAAACATCAAGCTGTATACCTTAGGATATCAATTTTTTCTCAATTAAAAAAAAAGAAATGGCCAATTTATAGGGTCAGATCTATAACTCCAGTGAAGCTCACGAACTGGAGAAACCTATATGAAAGAAGAGGAGATGATACTGAAACAGAGGACTGATTCAAAGTCTTTAAGGACCAGACAGAACTCCCATTTGTATTGCTCAGCCCTCACAAACATGCAACCGTTCTTCCCCCAATTCAGAAGAAAAGAAGAGGAAAAATTAAGGTGTGTAATATTTCACCTTTAATACCTTCAACGAACAAGCAATGGTGCAATTTTGACCTTTATTTTTATGGCTCTTAATTTTAAATTTTATATTATATTTTTATAATCTTAGAGATAAAAAAACATACTGCTTATCCAAAGACCTTTTGAGTGTGATTAAGTCATCAGTATACAAGTATTTTAGTAACGAATGACAGCAAAGAACAGCTACATGTTAAAATATTCCATGTGATTCACTACATTAATGATCCACAGAATAAATTAGGGAAGGTGGGTTATAATGGAAGTTTGTGTCAAAAGAAAATAGCAGGTCTCAAGAGACCCAAGGAAGAAGGGTAATAAAGAAACAAAATTTGTAAAAAACGGTTGTCAGACCCAACTAAATCATTACAATAAGTTAGACATCTACTTTTTTTTTATTTCAAAATTCAAAAATTTCACATCTACCATCTCAGATTCAGGCGGTAGGGCCCAAAATTTATAATTTTTGAAATTTTCCCCCATGAGATTCTGATAATCAGCAAGATTTTAGAACCACTGCCCTAGAATGCTAACTTGGGTATGTTCATGCAACAATATGATCTATTTGCCCTAAGCACAATTATAATGCCATACACAATAAGTAATGAAATTATTCTTCTTACCTTGGATACATTGCTGACATAATTCATTTGAACAGTACTTTCCTTATCAACTTGATTACAAAGGTTCTGTAAAGTGGATGCATATTCTTTATCACTTTTTATTCTCAGAGCCATAAATTTCTTCACTGTTTCCAGTAATCGTAATTCCCAGTCTTGCAATTTTAACACAGCTTCATGTGAATTCTTCAGGTCACTCCCAAACCCCATTTTTGTAAGGCACTGTCTTATCCTCCACTCCGTACTGTGAGCCTTCTAATCAGCACATATCTGTGTATGCAAACAGAAGAAAAAACACCTCTTAAATCAAAAGGAAATTTGTTTTCAAGGCAAAGTTATGGCCCATTCTTTTTAGTTTAAAAAAAAAATCACTACAACTGAATGCTTTCACCCAAATATCAGGAACAAGATGAGGATGTCCACTCTCACCACTTCTATTGAGCACCATATTGGAGGATCTAGCCAGTACAATGAGATACATGAAATGATTTCCATGGAAATTGAAAAGACGTGAAACTATCTTTATTTGAAGAGGATGTGAAATTGAATATAGAAAGAAATGCAATTAAAAACAAGTTTTAGAATTAATAAATGACCTCAGTAAGATTACAGGGTAAAGATCAAAAGACAAAAATCAACTGCATTTCTACACACTAGCAATGATCAATCTGAAAAATGAAATTAAAAACCAATTCCATATACCATAGCATTAAAAAGAATAAAATAGGAATAAATTTTATAAAATAAATTAAAACTTGTGCTCTTAAAACTACAAAATATTGTTGAAAGAAATCAAGGAATTTATTCCTTATAATTATTTCCAATTATTTAGGTTGGAAATAAATGGAAAGACTCATGTTAATGGATCCAAAGGACTTAATATTGTTAAGAAAGTAATATTCTCCAATTTGACCTACATATTTAACTTAATCCATATTAACATATAACCTAGCTTTTTTTTTTTTTTTTTTTACAGAAATTGAAAAGAGAATCTTAAAAAAACCTTAAAGAAGAAGAACAAAGCTGGAAGAGTCATACTTCCTAATTTCAAAACTTACTAAATAGCTACAATAATCAGGACAATGTGGTCCTGGCATATGGAGAGACACAGAGATCAATGGAATAGAATACAGGGTCTAGATGTGAATCATCACATTTATGATTATATGATTTTCTACAAGAGTGCCAAGTGTATTCATTCAGAAAACAGTCTTTCAACTAATGGTGGTGGGACAACTGGATTTCCACATGCAAAGGAATGAAGCAGAATTCCTTTCTTATACCATACACAAAAAATTGAACTCTAAAGGGATGGATAATGGGCTTAAATATCAGAGCTAAAACTATAAAATTCTCAAAAGAAAACACAGTAGTAAATCTTTGTGGCCTTGGCTCAGGAAACGGTTTCTTAGATATGAGACACCGTAAGAAAAGGCAACAAAATTAAAATACATAAATTGGATTTAATCAAATTTAAAACTTCTGTATTTCAAAGGTCACCATTAAGAAAGTGAAAAGACCATAGAATGGGAGAAAATATTTGCAAATACTTATCTTAAGGGACTTCTATCTGGAATATATAAAGAATTATTAAAACTAAGTAATAAAAATACAGTTAAATAAATTAAAAATGGGCAAAGGATCTGCATAAACACTTTTCCAAACAAGATTTAACTAGTTTTGCTAGTTAAATGTCCAATAAGCAGATGAAAAGATGTTCAGTATCACTAGCCATTAGGAAAATACCAATCAAAACCACAATGAGATACCACACCACACCATTAGGATGTCTTTAACCAAAAGATAGATAATATCAAGTGTTGGAGACTGTGAAGAAATTAGAACCCTCATACACTGCTGGTGGAAATGTAACCTGGGGAAGTTCCCCAAAGTTAAACATACAGTTATCGTATGATCCAGAAATTCCACTTTTAGGTATATACCCAAGACGAATGAAAACATATGCCCAGACAAAAACTTGCACATGAATGTTGTGGCAGAATTATTCATAATAGTTACAAAGTGGAAACAATCCAAATATCCATCAACTGATGAACAGATAAAACATATTATATACACACAACAAAATATTACTAGCAATGAAAAGGAACAAAGTAATGATAAAAGCTACAATATGGATGAACCTTGTAAACATTATGCTAAGTAAAAGAAACACAGACACAAAAGACTGACATACTGTGTGATCTCTTTATATGAAAAGTCTAATCCAGACAGCGGGTAGATTAGTTAATACTTGCCTGGGCTGGCAAACTTGGGAAGAAATGAGGAGTGACTGCCAGCAGGTACTGGCTTTCATTCTGGGGCAATGAAAATGTTCTAAAACTAATTGTGGTGATGGTTGCACAACTCTGTGAACAGAATAAAAACCACTGAATGATACACGTTAAGTGGGTGAATTCTTCAGCATGTGAGTTATATCTCAATAAACTTGCTTTAAAAATCACTGCAGCATAACTGGTGATGATCTAAAGGTCAGGTCTCAGAAACCTCCCCAAAATATCCTGCTATAAATCCCCAAAACTATGATAGAATTTATTTTGCTCTCCAGACTCACAAAACTTCAGGCAATGAATCGTCTAGGGCCAGTTAGAAGAAATGAAGAAACACACCTCTTATTTTTAGTTTTGGCTCATCCATACCAGAAGTCACTTTCTTGTTAATTCAGCTGAGATCCTCTACATTAGACAGAAAAATAAGAACAGATTTATGTGTCTAACCTCAGTGATAACATCTAAAGAGATGATAAAAATGTAGGTTTTCCATATAGAGAACAAATTACGATTTTTCTCCAACTGAAAACTGTCCAGTTTTATGATCTATCAAATAAGCAGAGGGGAGAAAAAGGTTGTGGAAAACTGTGCTTCATCAGTTCCCAAAGCAGCAACCAGAACGCAAAATGGACCTTAACATAATTAAGTCAATACAAAGTAATTGACTTATTCACTTTAATATGGAGTAGCATAATTCCAGTTTTTTCACTTTGGATATAGTTGCTTTAAAATTTTTACTTTGAAGAGCACCTGGGTAGCTCAGTCGATTGAGCGTCTGACTCCTGGTTTCTTCTCAGGTCATGATTTTGCGGTTTTGTGGGTTCGAGCCGCATGTCAGGTTCTGTGCTAGTAGCATGGAGCCTGCTTACAATTCTCTCTCCCTCTCTGTGCCCCTCCCCCACTCACATTGCCTCTTTGTCTCTCAAATAAATAAAATTAAAAATAAATAAAATAAAATTTTTACTTTGATGTACTTACTATATCTTCACAGAACACAAAAATTCAAAAAGAACATTTTTCTGTCATTTTACCTACAGCTCATCAAAGTCTCAGTAGAAGATACATTCTACCTCATCTCATGGTTTTGTTTTGTTTTGTTTTGTTTTGTTTTGTTTTGTTTTTTTAAGTAATATCTACACCCAACATAGGATCTCACAATCCTGATATCCAGAATTGCATCCTCTACTGACTGAGCCAGCCAGGTGCCCTTGTTTTTCTTTAAGTTTTTAAAATCTAGTTAACACATAGTATAATATTGGTTTTAGGATAGAATTTAGTGATTCATCACTATATATGTATGTATGATATATATATATATATATATATATATATATATATATATATATATATACACACACACACCCTTTTATGATTCATCACTTATATATAATATCCAGTGTTCATCACAAGTGCCTATCACTCACTTAGCCCATCCTCTACCCACCTTCCCTCCGGCAACCCAGTTTATCCTCTATAGTTAACAGCCTCTTATGATTTGCCTCCCCCTCTATTTTCCCCTTACCCTATGTTCATCTTGTTTTGTTTCTTAAATTCTACATATAATTGAAATCATATGGTATCTATCTTTCTCTGATGTACTTATTTCGCTTAGCATAATATATTCTAGCTCCATCTACGCTGTTATTAATGGCAAGATTTCATTCTTTTTGATGGCTGAGTAATATTCCTATATATATATATATATGTATATATATATATATATATATGCGCCACATCTTCTTATCCATTCATCAGCCAATGGACATCTGGGCTCTTTCCCTAATTTGGCTATTGTTGACAATGCTGCTATAAACATCAGGGTGCATGCGCCCCTTTGAATCAGTATTTTTGTATACTCTGGGTAAATATCTAGCAAAGCAGTTGCTGGGTCTTAGGATAGTTCTATTTTAAACTTTTTAAGGAACCTCCATACTGTTTTCCAGAGTGACTGAACCAGTTTAGATTCCCATCAACAGTGTAAGAGGGTTCCCCTTTCTCTTTATCCTCACCAACATCTGCTGTTTTCTGTGTTGTTACTTTTAGCCACTCTGACAGGTGTGAGGTGCTATTTCATCATGCTTTTGACTTGTACTTCCCTGATGAGTTATGTTGAGCATCTTTCCATGTATCTGTTAGCCATCTGTATGTCTTCTTTGGGACAATGTCTATTCATATCTACTCTACATTTCTTAATTGGATTATTTGGTTTCTGGGTGTTGAGTTTGATAAGTTCTTTATAGATTTTGGATTTATCCCATGTTTTCGATGGAAGATTAAGGAATCATTTTTGAGGCCAAAGAAATGTGAAACATTTTCCTTTCTAACTATATCTAGGATTGTGGTTCATTTTATCCCGTAACTTAGGATAAATATCACTTCTACTTCCAAATACATCTAGCTCTGATCTAAACTTTAATAATATTTTTTTCTTCCATTATCAGGAACTTCAAAATGAGCTCAAAAGAACAAAAAGGGAAATAGAATCTGGCAGCTATCTGGAAGAAAGACTCCAGACCATCCTAAGGGCTTATTTATATACACCAGTATTCTAGGTCTAGGAATATATAATAATTTTATTTATGGTACCTCTCTTAAGGAATGACAAATGATAAAAATTTTAAAAACAATTCCATAATAAATTAAGACTATGTCTAACGGTTAAGTTGGTAAATATTACAAATATTTTAGGAATGAAGGGAATGATATCCTACAATTTTCCCAAAGATGTCAAGTGACATTAATATTAGACTATTCATTTCAATAGTATTTGAGATAACAACAAAAGAAACCAGAAATACCCATCAAAAAGAACTGACTAGGTTAATTACAATCAAGGCTGCTGCATCTGATAATAACAATTCTAGGGAGTGCCACTCAAATCATAGTCTATGTGAATTGTTCAGTGTCCAACAGTGGAATATCATTCAGACCTAACCAAAACTAAGAAAATCTTTTGTGTATTGTTCTGGACCTATCATT